TTCCTTTTTCATACTACGATACATGTTTCCTGTTTTCAGAATTCTGCAGTGCAATATACCGAGTAGCGTGCCAGATAATAAGGACACCATCCTTTCCTCCTCCCAAAGTCCTTCAGGTCGTCCAGGTTGTAGATGCCTGCAGGAAGAGGCACCTGTCGGCCGACGGCATCAAAGTCCTGCACACAGCAGGAGGAGAGGGGTGTCATTTATGATTTTGTACACCAACATTAACTTCAACCTGCCTCGTTTACTTCCACTTTAGTTAAAAAATACCAGCTGGTCTAAACTGGGTGGATCCGGTGAATTTGTACCTCGTAGAAGCGGCACACAGGCACGCTGGAGTCGCTGTGGCGTTGGGCACGGATGTACGAGGCTGTCAGGGTGTGGCACTTCCCATCAACCTCTTTGCCGAAGCGCAGAGCACTCACCTGGATAGAAGCAGACACGGCAAGTATTGGCATATGAGCTGAGGTCCAATCACTAAAATTATTCCCAGTAAAGGTCAAACCTCAAACATGCATCTTGTAACCCTATACTGAACAACACGCATTTTGATATGATTCCAACAACATTGATTGTCCCTTGAAACACTGGAAAATCACTGGAAAATCAGTCGGAGCATAATGAATATAAGGCCTACATTTCAAGGGAGAAAAACTAGACCAAATCTTTAAAGAAAAAGTGCAAACAAGAGTTTTGAACATTTCTTTGTGCTTCCTCTCTTTGTGAGGGGAATGGCCCGTGTTGCCCTGCTGTGTCCGGAGCAGCAGCTGTTACCTCAGGGTGGATGCACAGGTTCTTTCTGGAGGAGAGGGCCAGAGCCAGGAAGTTGTTGCTTTCACCAGTTTGCTTGGAATAATACTCCATCAACTTCCGCAGCTCCTCCACGACCTGAAGAGACAGCAGATCACATATACAATACAAGTTCTGTTGTTGCTGGGATTAAACTTCAACATATCCTTGGAAATATCCATTTGACTTTCTGATGTGTGATTTTCTTTTGACATTGACTCACCTTTTCAATCTCTGGAACAGTCCTGGAGCAGTATATCAGCTTGGTCACTTCCAAAGGAAAGGCCTGAGAGAGAGAAAGTAACATATGACATTCTCATGTGGCACTGGCTGCTGGGAAGCAAGAGTGGAGCACAGGAAGTCACTTGAACACAGCTAAACTCACCTTTTGGTAGGCAACAATGAGAGACAGCAGAGAGATAGTCTTCCCTGTCCCTGAAGGCATCTCCAGGACTCCATGACCCTGAACATAAAGAGCATGGGATGACAACCAAACAGACAAAGTGAACACCCTGTGTAGCTTTCCTCCCAATGATGTCGTAGAAAACAATCCCTGACAACTATTTTAACTCTTTACACAAGTTTCATAAATCGCTGAAAGACAAACTGTGTACCCCTTGTTTGGTTTTCCAAATTGCCTTGCATATTTGATCTACTATTATGTTGCAACACTGTGACATTAAAGATACTATTTGTGTCACAACCATAGAGTCACAACCTATATGTAAACTACATGCTATCATTGTTAGCTTGGCAATGTATGATGTTTTCTCATATTGCACTTGCCCGCCCGCACAGCTACAATGTCAATAATCCCATTGAATGTACTGTAGAATAACCCAACAGCAGCACCCACCTTAGCATCCAAAGTCCTCTTCAGCTCCAGCATGTAAGAGTACTGCTCAGGATATATGTAGTCATATGGAAAATACACCAGCAGACCATCGATGTTGAGCCTGGAATAAAACAATAGAGAAGAACATGCTGCAGACTCAGAGCAGAGACACACCAGACATCTCTGGATATGTAAAGCTCAGTAAAGCAGCTACAAGGAAATAACTAGAAATGTGTATGAAGCTAAGCTAACATGGACGTTAGCTCTCAAATGTATTGCAGATTACACAAACATACCAGGCCAACTTTGATATGATAACCTGAAAACACTGCACCTGTGAGTGCCATGTGTTGTGTTCACTTAGCTAAATGATGTCAGACAATTTAGCTAGGTATAGTCAAACTTGATGCGATCAAGCTAGCCCGAACAGTCCTGCAGGAATGTGTTTCTTTTCAGTCCTAATAAACACTCACTTCATGTTTGTAAAGCGTGTATAAGCCTCTCCTCTTCAGTCACTATGGCTGTTTTGAAATTCTCATGTAGAACTTGAAAAAACAACAAATGAATGATGGCAGTGATGGGCCGAAGCAAACCGGAAGCAAACTATTCTTCTTCCGGTGTTCTTGTTCTTTCTGGCAGTTTTAACCGGGGTTTAAAAATGAACCTTACCATACGGCCACTGGTTGCTGAATAAATGACTTTATTCTTTGTGTAGTTAAACCTTTATCAGATCGTCTTCTTGGAGCATGACAAATAACTCCTCACCTGGACTCATTAATATTTTAACATGCTTTTACTTTATTGTTGTATTAGCATTTTCTTGCATTTTGCACTACTTGGCTTGCAAATATGTATATTTTTACATCACAAAAAATATTTTAATTTTAATGTAAGTATTGAATATTGTTGATAAGTCATGTATAATTTATTTTTTGCTCTGTATTAAGTCATGTGTTTGCTGTTAACCTCTTTTTGTTAATGTTCCTTGATAAGAGTAAAATATCTATCTAAACCTCATAGCAGCTGACCTGTATTGGACAACTAACACGATTATTTCATGTTTATTTCTGTTAATTTCTAAACGCATGTGCGTCACTGTATTTTGAAAGGGTTCGCCGGAAGTGGGAGAAGCTATATATACAGTCTATGGGTAGAAGCAGAGCCGTCAATTTTTTCCGAACCTATTTTATTATTCAACCTTTGGATATTATTTAGCTGATCTACTTTCAGATACTTTTAACATCATGTGGCTGCCAGTGTGCACCAGCAGGGGGTACTGAAGCGTTATTAAACACTATACACTGATATATTAAATATCATTAGAAGACTTACAGATGTCCTCCTATAAGATGTTTTTTGACAAAACATAGCTTTTACAGGTTACCAACTACTAACATGCTGATTATAAGTTAAATGGGTGTGTTGTTTGAGCACAGTAGGTGTTCTAATTGATGGGTTGTCTTATGTTGTATCAAAGTTGAATGTTTATACAAGTATTTAGAAATTAACGATTCTTATCAAATTCATTCTACTTGCCATTATTAACTGGAGGGAACAGCAGAATTATCATCAGAAGAAAAATACATCATCAATGAGTTGGCACTGTCCTGGGATTTGCCTCTAGTCACATGTGACAACAGGAGATGGCTATTTGATAAACTGATCCTCCATGCTGTGAGTATTCTGTACTTAACAGGTCATATGAATCAGACTGACTAATCAGAGTTGAAGTTTTGAAGTAGGACCTAATTTTGGCATTTCACATTTGAGCTTTTTTGTTAAATACATAGATGGATGTTAATACGTGTATCAAAACATGCTTATTGGGCCATTAGACAAATAAGGCTGCTTGGCTTTTCTACTGTGATGCATATATTGTGCAGGTCCTTGGAAGAACCTCCAGACAAGTCAAGCAGTTACGAAGGGGTTTAAAAGAGACACTGATCTGGCCTCTGCTAACAGAGAGGAAAGACATGATTCCCCTTCTCTTTCCAAGAGCATCTGATTTGCATTGCACACCACGGGTAAGTGATCTCATGCTGCTCAGTCAAATCCTTCCTCCTAACTCATAGGAGTTAGAAATTGGGCTTATTTATTACTCTCAGACCTCCATTGCTTTAAGTTTATTATAACAAACATTCACCTGGACTGATATCAAACCTGTTGCATATAAATAATCACAGTGCGAATTTGATCATTTTGATTTTTAATCAGCAAGTATTGCGCAAACATATTTTGTAATGAAATTATGCTAATTGCTGCTTAAAAGGAGCTAAACCAATCGAAAAACTGTATCTTTAGACTACTCTGCTACACGGCAAAACATGCAGTTTCTTGTATGTTCTGTTTATTATTGTGCTTTCTCTGGGCTCTTTTCAAAACTAAATCTGTCAGATGGTCTTGGAGAAGATGTGAGGGTCTAAGGACAGAGGGTGTCGTTTTTCTCATACTGATATTCTGCACAAACTGTGCTGTTATATTTGCAGTAAAGTGTCCTTACTGTAAGGTAATTATTATATGTACAGCACTTTGGCTCGACCAAAAATCGTTTTAAAAATGTGCTATATAAATAAAACTTGATTTGATTTGATTTGAAGATAAACTGGCCCACACAGGATGAGGATGAAGACAGTGAAGTCTCTATGGAGGATTCCTGTAGGATCACAGGATTCCTGCGCACATTTATTGAGATGGGTAAAATAACGTCTTCAGGCTTTGTTTACTGAAAGTTTGTAATTATTATAACGAAAGCTGCATATTTTTATGTTTAACTGTGGATTTTCAGCTACAGTAACAATCCAAGGCGTAATTAAAGTAACATTATTGTTATTTAACTATTAACTGAAGGCAATTATAATAAAATGAATTTATTCTCTGTTTTATAAAGCATCTCCCAATATCCTTGGGAAACTTGTGCAGTTCTGGATAAGGATGGAATGTGCTTCCTGGATGTGACCGTGGTGGAGAGCAACTCCCCGAGGTAAACAGTGCCAGTAACCGGAACTGTGCGCGCTCCTGCGGCACATCTACTCGTGTTTCATTCTTTCTTTGTAGAGGCTCTACATGCTGCAGCGATTTCAGAAGGAGCCTATTATAGCAGCTTTAGGCAGCAAATACTGTAAGAATCACGCACATAATGTCATAAACCAATTCAGACTGGGTTACTGGCTATCCTGCTGGAATTAAGAGTGTTAATTAACAGGATAGCTACCTAACAGTGCGCATGCAGGCATGTGCGCGTTCTTTGTGGGCTTGGTCAGAGTCCAGGGGCCGTTTTTCAGTCCCAGTCCCTCCCTGATAGACCAACCCATACTAAAGTGTAGGATCACACTAAGACTTTCTTACCATAATCTCCAAATTAAGCAATGCTAAGGTAAGGCCATACTCTCTAATAAAGTAATTTGGGGTTTCATTTTAAAGGCAACTTAAAACGAAATGCTGCTTTTAACCTTTTTAGGTACTTGCATTTACTTTGACTATTTCAATTGTTATGCTACTTTACATTTCTCGAGAAGATTGACAAATAATCAATTTTTTTAATCATGCAAAAGTGCAATAAAATATACATTAAGTACCAAAAATAAAAAAGTATACTTATTATGTAGAAATCTGAGTTATATTCAACCATAGAATTATTCTTGTAAAAACAAAAGACATGTTTCTAATGCTGCAGGTAAGAGTGGCTCTAATAAAATGACTATATATTTTTCTAATTATAATTTATTCTATGATTACATTTTGTATTCCTGGCATGATTCACGGACTTTCCGCATAGTAAAAGTGGGGGGGTCTAAACTAATCATTTGAAAAAGTGGGGGGGACTTGTCCCACCCTCATATAATGGCTGTGACGCCCATGGTCACAGTGTCAGGCTGGAACTGGACAATATCATGAAGATCTTCTCTTTGAAAGGAAAACATTTTTTCACCATCTTTCTCCTTCTGGTCGTGGCTTTCTTACTCTATGCACTTCATAGAACGGACTTCCAGGTGAGAACTGTTATCTAGGATCACTAATAAGGTTGACTTCATGTGAAATGTTTAACATTAGTCCGGTTTCAGGAGATCGTTTTAAATGTGTCTCAGGATGTGCATTGCAGTAAAAAACTAGTAAGATATTAAAAGGTTTGCTTCTGGCAGCCACTCCTCTAGTTTAAGGCGAAGAGTGGTATTTCCTTTAAATAAATTTGAACTTGCAGTCAGACTGGTTTTTCATCTTTCTCTTACACCTATATGCACTGCAGCCAAAAATCGGTCAGGACAGTTAAAAGAACCATCAATTTGGATAATGTGTTATCAAGGCTTAGATTAGGACATACTAGACTGAACAAAACATTGCATTATTCATAAAGAAAACATCTATCTGATTATATGAACACTGCCAGGTGGAGGAATCAGTAGAACATGTAATTCTGCAGTGTGCCAAATACAGTCAAGAAAGAGAAACTTTAAAGACAGAAATCAGGAAGCCTGGAATGGAACAACCGAACCTCAAAGAAATATTAGACGTTCAATGTTAGGAGCTGAGTTATGGACACAGTGAAAGGTAAACATTACACAACAACAGTTCTTATCAACCCCCTTAACACATATTTATTCATTTGCTTCCAGTGCATTTGTTTGACGTATCTACGTAAACTTCTCTGTCTCTCTCTATCGATTTACAAAAGCAGGAAAAACAAAGCAAACAGTACAGCCGGTCAGCAACTCACAAACATGTTTATTTTTTTAAAAGCAAGAGTGAGTGTAGATTTTAGATTTCACTGTCTGATGAAAAATATGGAAGAGTTTTTAAATCGGTGGTGTTTCACTACAGCTGTGTAACTCTGTTTGTATGTGAAAAGGACAATTAAAATAAAAGAGAAACATTTTCTCTAAATGTCTAGGTAATTAAGTTCATTGTTGTTGAACATCAAAATAAAAGTGTTTTACAAAATCAAAAAAAATCTCTCTCTCTCTCTCTCTCTCTCTCTCTCTCTCTCTCTCTCTCTCTCTCTCTCTCTCTCTCTCTCTCTCTCTCTCTCTCTCTCTCTCTCTCTCTCTCTCTCTCTCTCTCTCTCTCTCTCAAGCCCTTCAAGTTTCAGCCTAAACTGAGCTCCACCATCATCTACCTGAAAGATACAACTGAACTTCCCAAAGTCCGCAGCATCTGCAACTTCCCACCATTGTCCCCTAAGGATGCTCTGGAGGAACGCCTGCTACTAGAATCTGTTGCTTGGCCTGAAACTTCTGAATTACCATCTCCTCTTTCCCTGGAGCTGACCAGTCATCCAGCTCACAGCTCTTTCACCATTCTCCCAGCGAGGAGAGGAGGACAGTGGCACGTAGGGGATCAGCTGGAAGTCAGCATCGTCATCTCTGACTTCAACGGACAACCCAAGAAGTTTGGGGGGGACCTTTTATTAGCCCGGCTGCACAACCTAACGCTTGGTGCAGGTGTAGCTGGGCAAGTGGTGGACCATCTCAATGGGAGCTACTCTGCTGTCTTTCCTTTACTCTGGGAAGGAGAAGCTCAGGTTGAGGTGATGCTTAACTATCTTTTTCTATGTGATGCTGTAGGTGTGTCCTTTGTCTACCATTTCTAGCCACCAATTGTACATTTTCAACAAAAACTCTTGTTTTCTACCCAATCAGGTGACACTAGTTCATCCCAGTGAAGCTATCACAGTGCTGAACAGGTTAAATCGTGAACAACCTGATAGGATATTCTTCAGAAGCCTCTTTCGCTCAGGCTCACGCTCTCAAACCACCATCTGTAACATCTGCCTGCGTCAAACCAACCAGACAATCTGCGACTTCACCGACCCTCGAACCGGCGATCCTTGGTTCTGCTACAAGCCAAAGAACATGAGCTGTGATGCAAGGATCACCCACAGCTTTGGAGGATACAAACAAAACCTCAAGGCCAAGGAGGATAAGCTCTTTCAAGGGTAAGGAAGCAAAGAGACTGGTCATTTGTGTGACTTCTTATAAATACATACATCATGTGTTACCTATTTATCTGCTTGGCTGGAAGTTTCAGAAGTTTGTCAGGTCATGCAGTTTAGATTAAAAGATATTTTTAAATGTAACCACTCAGTATGAATCATAGTTGACCTTCATTAAAAAAAAAATGTATAGGATATATAAAAACAATTTTCATGTGGATTTTTTGTTTTAATTGTATTATCTTGTTTATCACATAACATCTACGAATGTCTTTATCTCCTTGGAGAAGTAACCTTTCTCTCATTCTCCCTGAGGTTCTTCTATTTTTTCCCTTTATTCCCTTAATTGTGGGGTTTCTTTTAGGGAATTTTTCCTTGTGTGCTGCGAGTGTGTGAGGACAGAGGGCGTTGTGTGCTCCAGAATACACTCTGTAAAGCAAATGAGACAAATGTGTGATGTTTCGCTTTAAAAATGTAATTTGATTATTTTATCCAGCTTTGGTCAAATACACTTTTATTGTCTTTTGCAAAAATGTTATGCCGTAAGGCTTAGTTCTAAGGTGTGAACCTTCCAAGTACACACAAGGAAAGTTTAGGGTGGCAAAAGCTGCAGCAAAAGACCCCTAATAGGGAACAGAACAGAGAAGGCATCAATGACAACATAAATGATACCCCAGGTAAACCTCCATGCCATTCAAGGTTCAAGGTTCAAGGCTTTTATTACACATATAGGGAATAATTTGCTTAGGTATTCAACCTTCGACACACACAGTTAATTGTTTTCTCTTCTCACTGTCTCTTTTCCCATGGCATAGTTCTACGGCCTTGGGTATTGTTGTTGCCAGTCTATGACAGAGCACAAGCTGCCATGAGGTAGTTTACTGTAGGTTCCCTGGTGCACATTCTTTCCTATGGACGAGAGCTCTAGTTAGATTCAGGGTCCATATTGCTTTAGTCTCGCTGATGAAGAATGTTAATTATTACACTCCGAACTAGTTAAAACCTCGAGCTGCAGAAGAGTTCTTCAGAATTGGTTTGGCAACCGCTGTGTCAACTCGTGACACACCACCTGTCTTGTCAATTCTCCGGCCGTAACTCCAAATAAACCATCAGTGTTTACCATCAAAGCTCCAGCTCTCCTCGTGTCTCTCTGAGTCCTGTTTCCAATTGCTTCAGAAGTTTCCCCCACAATAGCTACAGTGTAGTTATGACGATTAAAATCTTAGGTGACAGGCTCCTTCAACAGTGCAACACAATAAACCTGAAAAACAGAAAAAATAGTGCAAGTAAATACAAAAAGAAAAATAGTAAAATAGGGAAATAGTGCAAGCACATGCATTTGGGATATTAATGTTTATTGTAGTATTGTGTGTGCTTTTCTTCAGTCGTGTCAACTTGAAAGTAGGCATTCCGGCTACAGGACCTGCCGGTGTCACTGTTTTACCAAAAAAGGAAGGTAAGGAATGCATTTATCACTGAATTCAAGATCTAATGTGCTACAAGTACAGATGACGAAAGTATAGGGGCTGAAAAAAACAACAACTCTTTCTTCTAGGTATCATTCTCCTGTTGAGAGATGTATTTAGCAGGCCAATTTGACAGGAGCAAAGGGAGGATGGAGCTCTCAGCTCAAACTTTGTCAACACGGCCCAGCTGTTGCAGTGTCTCTCAGGAGTGAGGCCATAACATGTTCATACATTCACTTTATACTTTGACTTGGTTAAGGTGGAGAGTAACAAACGTAAAACAACCCCACTATTATCCTTTAACTTTCTCTCAGGTCAACCAGAGGTGAAGAGCAGCATTGTGAACTTTCAAGCCTCTGGCTATTACTACCAGGGTTTATGGCGAGCACTAGATGGCACCAAAGTTCACCAATTCACCGGCGCATCTGCCATCACTCAGTGTCTAAAAGGCAAAGTGGTCCACCTGTATGGAGACTCTACCATCAGGCAGTGGTTTGAGTTCCTCAACGCAGCACTACCAGGTAACTAATCCACAGGGATTTCCGGCAACAGTTTCATTATGTTCACACTGCATCTTAATCTGTTTCCTCTGTAATACTTTTAGATCTTAAGGAGTTTAACCTGGGCAGCTCGAGGCAAAATGGACCTTTCATGGCTTTAGACTATGAAAACAAAATCATGGTGACTTTCCGCTGCCATGGTCCTCCTCTCCGTTTTGGCAACGTGCCAATTGGGGAATTTCGTTACATTGCCAATGAACTAGATGACTTAATCAGGGGTCCAAACACTGTTGTCGTTTTTGGCATCTGGTCTCACTTGGGCACTTTCCCCCTCGAGGTCTACATACGGCGGCTACAAAGGATCCGCAGTGCGGTGGTGCGGCTGTTGGAGAGGGCTCCACAAACGGTGATCATCATCAGGACTGCAAACCCCAAAGCTTTGTGGCTTTATGAGACGATAACCAACAGCGACTGGTTCTCGGTGCGGCGTGATAAGGTGCTAAGAGCCATATTTAAAGGACTGAATGTTCATCTGATTGATGCCTGGGAGATGGTCCTTGTTCACCACCTGCCAAACAGCCTCCACCCACAACCTCCTATTATTAAGAATATGATGGATGTTCTCTTCTCCTACACATGTCCTCAAAAGGGCGGCTAGATAATAATAATAATACATTTTATTTATCAAGCGCTTTATCAAGTGCTCAAAGACACAGAGGTAAGAAAAAAGATAATATAAAAAGTATATTTAATATCGAGCAATAAAACCACATTTGTCACAAGGACCTGTCATCAATCACACATTAAAAGCTAGTCTAAAAAGATGTGTGTTCGTTGTGGGGGAGGAGTGGAGATTTAAATCCATGCTGAGATTAAATGTTTCCATGTGTTTCTATCAAGTGCAGCATCTTTCGAACAGTCTATAATAGATTGATGTTTTCAAATGTTTTTTTAATAACTGAAGTTGAGAGATATAACAAATTATAATACCCGCCTTAATATTAAATGACATCCAACATAACTTCAAAAGTGATACTGTATATTCATAAAAATATACCTCAGAAGATTTGAACTTTTTTTTTTAAGGAACAGAAACCGGTTATTTTGATTGTTAATGTATTACACATATCAAACAAGACGCTGTTTTGTCATCAGAATGATGAGTATTGTATGAATGTTTACTGTTTTGCGCTTTTAGTTGTGGGTTGATAAGTATGAGTTATTTTTGGGGCGAGAGCCTAAAAGGGTTATCAAGGGTTAAGATTAATTCACACAACAAAATACTTAAAGGTAGCTAGGTAAATTTGAGAAACCGGCTCGAGATCGCTAGAATTTGAAAATACACAACCGGAGAAAATCTGCCATTTCCTTATATATTGCCACTGTTATTATATTGTGTTGATACTACTGACACTTATTGATCTGCTGCTGATAAATAAAAGAGAACCTACATGCACGGCACTAGCATCATGACTGTCTTTGTTTAAACCAGCAGCAGTACACAGACTAACCTGTGTGTGTGTAACGTAGTTCTTCAGAGGCCTGTACTACGAAGCTGGTTCAACCTAACCTGGATATGTTGGAGTTAGCCGGTTGGCCTAAGCCAAAACATACGCGCTGGCGCTAAACTGTACTACGACGCTGGTTATCAAGTGGATCGCTCAAGCCAGCCGTGTCCTATCTAGTTAGGTGCGCGTTCACATGAAAGGGGTGGTATTTGGAGCATTCGACCAATCTCAAACACGGAGAAGCGTACTGACAGCGCAGCGTATACTTCCTGAATGAAAAGTGAACTTTAATATTAGTCAAATATGAAGAAGTTAAACTTTAAACATCCATGACTTAAACACTTTATCCAGGATAAAAGCCACATAGCTGCACCTGCAAGGTGAATACAGCTGGTAAAAGAAAAAGGGTTTGAATGCGTACATTAACAGGTTTATGAAATCACTGCCCCGTCCAAGACACGAGTGGATCTGACTTTAATTAGGAGAATTTGACTCGAGTGTTTCGTCAACTTAATGTGTTGCTTAAAATAATACTTCTGCATACAGTATGTGACACTGTGAGTGTTGCACGGCCAGATACGGCTCAGCTGACTCAGATAAGGAAATATATGATACATTATGATGTGATATGATATGAATGATAATGGGACACATCGACGTCTGCACTCACAGTGCCGCGGACTGTACTTAATGTTACTCTGATCCGGTTACTTATGTCGTGGCAGATATTTAAGTAAGCTTTCTTAACGCTAATATTATAATAGTCAGATTGCTCTGAAGATGGGAGGGGATATTCTATTAATTTTCACGTTCACACAGTCAGTTGATTTTGGCCGGCAGTCTTTCCTGCAACGGCAGTTTTTCTGTATTTCCTCTATCCTGTAATATGAATTGATCGCTTTAAACTCCGCACACGGAGCTCTGATTGGTCAGCAGGCAGTGCTTTCACTGAGTTGATCTCTTAGCCTGCCACCTAACCTGCTCCGGAGCAGGTTTGCCGCTCAGCATAAGTTACCATGGAAATCTAGCCTGCTAAAAAGAGAACCAGCGTCGTAGGACCGGAAAGCCCGAGATTTCCCTGAATTTAGCCGGCTAAGCGAAAATCCAGCTTCGTAGTACAGGCCTCAGGTGTGTATGCTTAACATGTATGTATTTATCACAGTAAAGATGATATACAACAGTTTTTAACCTCATCCCATTGTCTTTAACACACATTTAACATAATAATATACTCATTAATATACAAATATACAGTATGAGTACTGTTTTGATACTGACATTTAATCTTTGCACTAAGGTGTGTCTGCACTATTGTAATTGTGTCTGTTGACTGGTAAATAAAAGAGAGAACCAAATGCACTACAAAAGATGAGCTTTATTGTCAATTTACAATTTCCATGCTGTTCAGATGCCTCTCCCCAACGTTGCTTCCAGGCGAATACAGAAGAGTTGAAAAGAGCCCTTGGACATTCGGAAATCTTTGACCCACTGCACGTTGGCACCACCTCCCACCAAGGCGATGTTCTATTGTTCACCCAGAGAGAGCGCGGGACACGACGCGTTCCGTAGTATTCGCATATCTGGAAACACATACAAAGACACAAATTAGCCCTACATAACTCCATAAATCCAACATTAGATAGTATTAATGTAATTTAATGAACGTACCATTGCTGTTCTTTGGGCGTGGTCCAATCCTTTTATTAAGGCTTCTTAACCGCCTTCGCCTCCGACTCAGCATTTCTATTGCATTTGAATGGTCTATTTGTATTTGTGGTTATTGGCTTAAATAACTCAGTTACGAAGCTGTATAACACGACCACCAAAACGTCAACTCCATACCGTGCCTGAGGTCGGAAGGTAAACAGAAGCATACAGCGGAAGCGGAAGTTTTTTTTCTTCTTCTTCTCTCGGTTTTTTGGCGAATTGCAACTTTAAGGTGCATACCGCCACCTACTGTACTCGCCGTGAAGTTGTTTGCGGCCTGCCAGTAAACCCAAAGCAGAAGAAGAAGAAGTGACGTCAGTGGCTCATTTGCCTAATCCACCCCCAGGAACTCATTTTGGTGTGAACGCGATCTGCTTTAGTTCATCAGAACTAAAGAGCTCTCATGAACTAAAGTTCTCATGAACTACTGTGGGAAAAGTACTTGGTGTGAACGCCCCTAGCGGAGCCCTCAAAGCGCTCCACCAACCCCACCACCCTTTTAAACATTGCCATATCAGGAAGCCCTGTTTCCATTCGGATGACATCATCAGGTAAGCCTGCTGCTGAATATTTTCCCATTCCATATGACCTCTTACGATCATCCCCTGCCTGGTCTTCGTAGCGACTGGACTGCAAACCGGAGGGTCCAGGTTCGTCGTCGTTGGTGGACTGCACCCAGGAGGGTTCGGGGTTGGTGCCTGCAGACTCAGGCCCTTTGCTGTAGCCGTGGTCGGTGGACTGATTTACAGGTAAGCTCACTTTCTTTTTTGTCCACTCAAATAAACATGGCCCTTTCTCTTTTCCATGTGGAAAATGGCAGCTGCATATTCTTGCGTTGTCATCTGGCTCCCTGTCTGCTCGTCTACAATGAGAAAATTATATAATGAATTACTAATAATAATTTAAACCTGCCAAATAGTCCCCCTACCCATAGTTTTAACAGTCTGCACTCTTCTATTTATCTTGTGAAGCACTTTTAACATTCAGCTTCTGTGTGTTTTGGTTGTCTTTATTTCCAGGTAGAAGAGGACCAAGAGCGAGGAAGTAAGACAGAGCTCTTAAAAGGCCAAACACAGTGTGTTAGGCCTTTTTATGTGTGACACATATATGTAGTGATAAATGGCTTCACCTGAACACTGTTCCTAAATAAAAAAAGTTTTCTGCATCATCAGTCATTCTTTCAAAAAAATTACCAATATTTCCGAAATTATGCATGTAAACTTAAGAGCACAGCTGTATGTTGAGTATGTCAACGTTGCTTGGTTCATCTTACTGGGGGGCAGCTACATGGATGTCGGTGCAGTCCACAATCATTTTGCAGTTGAAGGCAGAATGAATTTATTTATGTATGTGCTTATTTATTTATGTGTTTATCCAGAGCGAGTTACATTTAACTCATTTCAGGGACAGTCCCCCTGGAGCAAAACGGGGGCAACTAACTAAGTGCCTAAGACCAGGGCCTCCACCAACCCAAAATAAATGTATAAAAAGTACATTTAAATGTTTTTATTTCATATATTGACTGCCATGTAATACCATTTCAACTTCAATGAATGTTGGAAACACAAATATTGGTTGTAGACTCAGAATGAAGCACAACTTCATGTCATACAATGAATTGAGTTTATTTGTAATTGTGTAAAAAATATGAGCATTGATTAGGAAGCAGGACCTGCAGGAACAGAGAATGGTGATGGATGGAGCTGGGAAGTGAGAAGAATAAAGAAAACAGATCAACTTTATTATCGGATATTAAACATTTAATTTTCAAAAAAAAGTGCTGCTCTTACAGTTTTCAAGTGTGTAAAGATGATTTCACATGACTTATGCAAAATATCACACTCAATACATGTGTGTCTATGTGGGGTGCAGCTCTGGGGGGTGCATTGTGCCTTTGATGTATATAAATAATATACCATAACCAAATACGTACAGTGGAAATCAGGTTGCCAGAGCAGGTCAGTCCAGTGTGCATGTTCCTCAAGGTCTCAGCAGAGTTACAGGTGAGGCAAAGAAAATAAAAGAGAAAAAGGTCAGTAACAACACTTTAAAGTAACAACACTTGAAACACTTAGAATAATTTTCTCTCAGTAATCACTCAACTACTGTCTTGCCAAAAAACAGACTGACTCACCCTCACTATCATCACAATGAAGAATGTCATGCAAAGCTGCCTGCCTTCGACTCTCCCTGAACTGCCTGATATTTTGAATGTTCAATGTTAACCATTTGTGCAGATAGCATGAAGTAGAAAAAAGATCGCTAATGTAGCGTTAGCCTACATTAGCATCGGCCCCTGGGACCCCAGTGGAGGGTGTACGGGCTTAAACCGGTGTGACAGTACTCTTCAAAGGTTTCACAAAATACTTACCATCATGACTACTCTTACTGTTTAACATTTTGGTTTACTTATGTTACTTCATGTTAAGGCTAATAAAAAATGGCAAGGCTAACTAACGTGCTTGCTACTAGCTAGGTAGCTAACTTGACTATGTTCCATGCACAATATGTATTTTACCTGATGTGTTTGATCCAGCGACTCCTGGCCCTTTTATCAGACGGGAAGCGAAAGAATGAGCAAGAGGTATTATTACTGGAATGATAACAACCTGGTACAAAGCACACAGGCATCTTGTTCAAGTAAGTAAGTACAGTAAGTACATTTATTTTAGCTATCTCTTATATTTAGTGGAGGGAATAAATCCGCTATGACATCACTTACGCGAGGATTCTGGGATCTGTAGTCTTTCTAGTTGCGTATTTTTCAAAGTCTTATATTTCAACAGTTTTAAGACAAACTGTGACTTTTTTGACATGGAAATGATTTTTTAAGATTGACAAACATCATATGTGTAATTCATAGCACAATTCAAACGGGATCGAAAGATACGTTTTCTCTCCCCATTGACTTCAATGCATAATTTTTCCGAAATAAGGTCCCATTACCCGGAAGTAAGTGGGCGTGACTTCGCCACTCTATAGAGTCCAGTAGAGGGCGGAGCCTGTGATAGATATAACTATGACCACCTCTACAATCATTTAGAAGCTTAAAGTACTCAAATGTTGTACTTGTACTGCAGTTTGAATGTTAACTAAGTCAAAGTACAAAAGCATTTGGATGGAAATATAGCCTTAAGTACAATTACCTAAGAATTTCACAGTATTGGGTACATTTCTCTAGTCCACTTTACAAATATAGAATAAAGGGAGTGGCTGCCAACCATTGTTTTCAAAATGAAGAAACAAAATACTGTTTTAAATTTAAATAAATTATTGATTACTATCAGGAGACAGAGGTGGGAGAAGTACTAGCACAAGTAGTGATTGTGCAGATTGGTCCATTTCAGAATAATATATGTTTTATAATGATTGATCATGAAAGTGTTCTCAAAGCTGGTAAAGGTGCAGCTAGTTTGAATGACTTTGTATACTGCAGGGTAGCTTGTGAATTTACTCCAGGTGGAACTAAAGTCTGATTTAACACTTGATTAAATTTCACATCATTCATCCAGATCTGTAAAATAACTAAAGGGATTTAATACATGTAGTGGAGTAAAAGTACATGATTTACCTTGTAGTGGAGTAAAAGTACAAAGTAGCATAAAATGTAAAGTATCAAGTACAAGTACGTCAAAATTGTACTTAAGTACAGTACTTGAGTAAATGTACTTACTTCCCTCCTCTATCAGGCACAATAAGGTCTGTGTTTATGTTTGTGGTTGTGTGAAAATAATTGTCCATGAATCCTCAGTATATAACAATTTATTCTTACATTTACAGTAATATAGATATATACAGCATACATGACATGTGAGTAATACTGTGATATCCAGACAGTGGTGCTGGAGGCCGACAGGGAGCCACCACGTAGAAGAGGAGGGGTTTGAAAGACCAATGTTTGAAAATGGTCTAAAAGCAGCAGAATAACATTTGATGAGTTGAACTACAATAATACGCTCTGTCTGTTTCCCTCTGATCAAAAGAAAGAAAGAAATGTTAGCGCTGCTGTTCTCACATGTCACTTTAGAAACCATTTGAACCTACATCTTCATCTTTTACAAGAGGAGAGTCAAATCAGAAGTTCTTCACATTTCTTCTGGCATTGAAGCATTACAGTAAACCAGTAAAGATATCAATATGAATGATTCTGAAACAGGCAGGCAAGATGAATAAGGACAGAATATGGATAGAGCATAATGATGTTTGCAGTTCAGCTTAGTATGACTTTAAATGTGTTATTTGAGCATCTGTAGTTGTAAGACATTAGTGGCTGAGTCCTGAGTTTTGTCCTCAGCTGCTGATTCGTCCCAGTCCTCCCGTCTCCACACATCTACTCAGTCAGCAATTTGTTAACCATTACCAAGCAGAACATGCTCAGCATTAATCAGAGTAATAGACAATGCAGTGTCGGTGGAGGCCAGTATTCCGTCCACAGAATGTGTTTGAGATAGAAGTGGATCTTCAAATGTAAATGGTTAGGAGTTTCAGCTTTGTTAAAGGCTCTGAAGGACCAGCCTTCTGCCTTGTCTGTTGTCCATCGGGCAGAAACGTCCCAACACAACAAAGTCCACCTGCTTCTCACCTTTATCAAAGAGGACATATGCTCACTTTCAGGTTCATACATTGGGTCTCTACTAAAACATATTTACAAGCTTTAATGTTCACAAAACACATCATTGTTCTCATACTGCCTGTCTGAATAAACCTGTATTCACACTCTGTCTTTGTTTTTACATTGTTTTACATTGCCAATTGTGTTTGTTGACTTGTGAAGCCCTCTGAGACAAATAGGATTTGTGATTTTGGGCAATATAAATAAACTTGAATTGAATTGAATTGAATTGAATTGAACTGTCTGAAACGCTCCTTTGTAGCGCTTTAGCCCCCCTCCTGAGAAGTGCAGTGAGCCTGCATGGGACATGAGAAGAGGGGACACATCTGAATAGCCTGTTTAATCCCATGTTTTCTGATCGACAACCCATACAAAACACAGACCGGGTTTCAATACTTGGCAGTTTGTGGGATGGCAGGCACTCCATCTGCCCAGATACATGTTCAGAAGCACTGCTAAGCAGTCTCCTTTGTTAGCATCTTTATGAAGTCTTTAAGGATTGATGTATCTGCACACAGAGTCTTCACAGCTCACAGCGGTTGTCCTCAGTCTTGTAGCGGTCCATGATGCTCAGGACATCCTCCATGATAGAGGGGCCCAGATCCAGATTCAACCCCATCAGAGAGTCTGACCTGGACACCCCCCCTGAGACGGTGAGAGGGGCCGGGCGGCAGGGGGGGCTGGGCGAGTCACTGCGCTCACTCCTCAAGTCCTCATTGCTCAGGCCGGCATCAAAGTCCAGGCTGAGGCCCCGGCGACTGTCCAGGGGCCCGCAGGTCTCTGACATGGAGTCCTCAGAGGAGGCCTCCGAGAAGGACCCGGAGGAGGGGACGAGCCGGCGGACGGCAGGGGGGAGGGAGACGTCTCTGCAGGGCTCTGACGCCAGGCGGCCCACCAACCCGTTCTCAAACATCTGGCTGCGGCTGCCCGAGCGGCTGTGGCCGTTAGGCTGTCTGTGGCTGGAGTCTGTGGGGGTCTGGTGGGGGTGGAAGTGGTTCTGTTGGGAAGGAGGGGAGGGGTCGTCGAGGTGGAGGCGTGGGGGTTTGGGTGGGGCCTGCTCGTGGGCGATGAACACGGGCATGGAGATGGTGGTCTTCAGCAGGCCGCTGGAGGAGTGCTGGTAGTGGAAGCCATTGTAGGCGTAGCTGTGGGGGTCCGGGCCGTGGTCCAGGCGCTGCTCCACGCTGTGGGACCGCCCGTCCGGCCCCCCGCTCAGCCCCGACAGCATGCCCATCTTCCCCTGCAGGAAGCCCACGTCTCCAAACATGTCGCCCTCACCTTCCGGCCCCACGTGTGCGCTGTGACGCACGTCGCCCAGCGGGGGGCTGATCATGTCCCCTGAGAGCACATCACGGAGCCTCAGCCTCTTACCCTTCTTGGGAGTTGTAGTTTTTAAGTACATTGGTGTCTTTGCTGGCATTTTGGTCGATTTGAGGTGATTCAGGGAAAACTTCTCTTTATCTGAGAGGAGGGGAACACTCTGTGTATGTGGGTAGAGAGGAGGGGGGGGGTAAATGAACAGCTTACAAAGCAAACTCACTTTGAAGCTCCTCTGGATCGTTCCCCTCCCAATGAGAGATCCTGTCTGTGTTGCTTTTCCAAGTGAGTATACAAATATTTCAGTCGGTAGCAATAGCAACCCCGGGTTGTGCCTCGCGCTGTCATGTGACTCCGGGGGGGAGGGGAGGAGGCGGAAGGTCTTGACCTCAGATCTGGTCCCGGTGTCTTTCTCTCAAACACAGAAAAGCCATATCCAGCAAACACAGGGGCCACTTCACTTGAAAACACACACTCCTGTCTTTATCCCTCCTCAGACTGAAGGGTCCTGGTGGTCTGCTGTTGGCCCGTCTGCTGAGCTCTTCAGAAACTTCAGGAATGTGATGTGAAAATGCTGGAGATCTGAGGAGAAACAAGAGAGAAATGTGTCAGAGTGATGAAGAGAGGGAGGAAAGGCGAAGGGGAGATGGATGGGACGAAGGGGAAGGGAGGAGCAGGGTCTGGGGAAGAGGAGGAATGAAGGCGGGGGCAGATTTACAACCTCCCTTTCAGTGAAGACATATGACGGAAAACACTCCGGAGTGTTTGCTGAGAGGGGTCTACCGCCCCAGAGTGTGTGACTCCAGGCCTACAGTGAGTCAGACCAGGCAGAACATTGGTCACGCATTCCCAGAGGAGCCCTCCACTCAGTTAGTGGAAACGCAAATGACTGCTTTTAAAAGGTTTGGGCCTCTGCAACAACTCGCCTGTTATCAGTGAAACATCTCAAAGTCTCTTTCCTGAGACAAACACCGTGAATTATGGGATGCCATGGGTCAGGTCTCGCCTGAGGGCTCTGTGATCTTATGATCCCATCACCATCACAAACATTCCTTTGGTGTTTAACCCTTCAGACAAAAACAAGTGCTCATGTTCAGAGGTTTGACATTTGAAATGTGCAGTGCTTTCCTTCACAACAAGAGAGCTAGATGTTTGATGATGATGGGGAAACAACCGTTTAAAATACTTTTCCTGAGGTCTGGGTGGGAGGTGTTTGGGGGGAAATGACCTACATTTGTGTTGTATTCATATGTCTCTGTACACATCATGTTTCCCCAAATAAAATATTACTAAAAAAGTACAATGTCTTTCTTTTTGTAGCCTGAGGAAGCATTTTGTCTTGAGGAATGTTTTAACTAAATTTCATAAAATAATTGTATGTATTTGTATTCTTATACAACTCTGACACAATTGTTGCTACACTTAAAGGTAGGGTAGGTAAGTTTGAGAAACCGGCTCGAGATCGCTAGAATTTGAAAATACACAGCCGGAAAAAATCTGCCACTTCCTTATAGAGCCCCTCCTCCAACACACACGAACGTGCACATGACCAATGAGGGCACGAGATAAGTTTGTGCACAGATGGAAGGCTGACAGGCAGGTAGGCCATCCAGTTATTTTAGCCGGGCCGGCTAAAATGATTGGTCGTGCTTTTTACAGTATTACGGCTTCCACAGATGATATTTTTTTATGGATTTTTTGTCAAAGCACTTAAGATATTCATTGCTATCGGGATGTTAAGAGCATTCCATGGAATATAACAGAAAGTGTATCTCGAGCCGGTTTCTCAAACTTACCTACCCCACCTTTAAGTGTGAATGCATTATCATGTGTTTCCTTGATGAATGCTCACCATTGTTTGAAAATGAAACAGTTATATACCAGAGTGTTGTGATAATTTCTTGTGACTGGGTTCACGGCCTCTCAGTTTATTGAGGAGATGATTATATGCACTGAGGAGTGTCCTGTTTGTCTCTGGCCAACCCGGTATCACGGGAAGACGTGAACATGTGACGATCTACCATGCTGGGAGACGTGAATATGTCACGGTTTCGTCCCTTCAAACGTGACAGTTACACGGTATTGTTAACATGGCCCAACCAGTGGAGAAATACCCGGAAGTGCCTAGCAAATGGTCTACCGCGCCTATTGGTCGGTTTTTATTGTCAAAATTAGATGTTTTTAATTAAGTTTTTAATCGTCACACTCGATTTCGCCGATTTTCTTGTTGCCCTAGCTGGTCGACACCTCTTTTAGCAGAAACAAAGGCTACATTAATGTATTAAATCGATGTTAATCCATGTGTGTGGATCATAGACTGTATATATAAAGGTGTGGATGTGGAATTAACGGACGTGACGTTGTGCGATTGCGTTGCCAGGCAACGCAATTTACAAACTCTTCAACTACAACCCTAATTATATTTAAAAACATTTTAGAAGGCCTCACGAAATACTTTAATGTAAATTAAAATGTAAATGTGAAGGGATGTGTGTAATGTGGTGATTGACATTATTCACCCACGGATCTATGGGTTGGGGGTATTGTTCCGCACAGACATTTTAGTTAACCGCACTACTGTTGATGTGAAATCCGAAAACATTTTTTTTAAATAAAATAATACTTTATTCCGAGTTTGCTTGCTTTTCTCTTTGGAAGTCATCACATAACGGCATTGTAATACACGGTTCGGCTGCATTAAATATGACATATCTGCCGTAGTTCTGTATTTATAGAGCCCTGATGAGAAGACTTCTGGACAAACAGGAAGAACTGCCGCCAAAACTGAAAACGTGACGTGGATCATAAATATATCAGCAATTAAACAACATCTTACATTTCTTTTCACACAATACGTCTCCTTGCAGTATCAATACTAATTTGGCTGACTTTTATATTTGATCCAATTGGTAGATAGGTTATATTTACACCATAACGGTGCACAGCTGATAGAAAAGGACTTGTAGTTTTTAAAGATATTACTGATTTTCTTTGAATATAAGAATGTAAATACTGAGTTGAGAGAATAGTCAGGGGATTTGGGTGATGGGAGACACATCTATGGATTCAGAATTTCAATAGCTTACTGTTAAATGACGGATATACCTTTCTGTCTGTGATGTTTTACAAATCAGATATTAGAAGTAAAACATGTGAAATAATATAGCAATATCCTGTACAATTATGTGAAAACATGAATAAAACTACACATCTTCAGATGTTATACATACACAAGTGTCCTACACTAATAATACAAAGTTATTATGGCTGTGTGTACCTTGTGTGCACCGCCTAGTGGTTAAAGCACGTTATTGAATTAGTTGTGTATATGATATGTCAATGAACCTTAGAAAATCTTGAAAGGGATATGCAAAATAGCCATTATATACAGTCTTTAATGAACTATTAGTAGAGAATAACGAGTAATGAATATACTTTATAGAGATCTGCAGATAAATGTTTAGTCTTCTCAAGCAGCAACTATCAAATATCTCTCCTGATTGTTGGCACTTGACAATCACCTTTCCCTGAATTTTACTCAAGTGTAACTAAAGTCTGATTTAAGGGTTGTTTTTATTTCACATCATTAATCAGAATCTGCAAAGTAACTAAAATAAATGTAGTGGAGTAAAAATACCAGGTTAACCTCTGAATTGTAGTGGAGTAGAATTGCTGTTTTGTTTAGTGATGGATATTGAATATGGAATAAAGGTTTTGACAAGACCTGGTGTAACAATAATCAAAAAGGACATTAAAAGATCATAAGTGGTTTTGTTTTACATATATTTTAAGGATAATAATAGCAATGTAACACTGTCTATGACACTTATAACACTGATTTGAAAAACATACAGAAAAAACGAATTCACTGCCCTTAATAAAGTATTTAAATATACATTTCAGGTGTGCTGTTTTGTTTAGATCATTAACATCTGGAGCTCTTTTAATGTCCTTTTTGATTATTGTTACACCAGGTCTTGTCAAAACCTTTATTCCATATTCAATATCCATTACTAAACAAAACAGCAATTCTACTCCACTACAATTCAGAGGTTAACCTGGTATTTTTACTCCACTCCATTTATTTTAGTTACTTTGCAGATTCTGATTAATGATGTGAAATATAAACAACCCTTAAATCAGACTTTAGTTACACTTGAGTAAAATTCAGGGAAAGTTGATTGTCAAGTGCCAACAATCAGGAGAGATATTTGATAGTTGCTGCTTGAGAAGACTAAACATTTATCTGCAGATCCCTATAAAGTATATTCATTACTCGTTATTCTCTACTAATAGTTCATTAAAGACTGTATATAATGGCTATTTTGCACATCCCTCTCAAGATTTCAAGATTTTCTAAGGTTTATTGACATATCATATACACAACTAATTCAATAACGTGCTTTAACCACTAGGCGGTGCACACAAGGTACACACAGCCATAATAACTTTGTATTATTAGTGTAGGACACTTGTGTATGTATAACATCTGAAGATGTGTAGTTTTATTCATGTTTTCACATAATTGTACAGGATATTGCTATATTATTTCACATGTTTTACTTCTAATATCTGATTTGTAAAACATCACAGACAGAAAGGTATATCCGTCATTAAACAGTAAGCTATTGAAATTCTGATTCCATAGATGTGTCTCCCATCACCCAAATCCCCTGACTATTCTCTCAACTCAGTATTTACATTCTTATATTCAAAGAAAATCAGTAATATCTTTAAAAACTACAAGTCCTTTTATATCAGCTGTGCACCGTTATGGTGTAAATATAACCTATCTACCAATTGGATCAAATATAAAAGTCAGCCGAATTAGTATTGATACTGCAAGGAGACGTATTGTGTGAAAAGAAATGTAAGATGTTGTTTAATTGCTGATATATTTATGATCCACGTCACGTTTTCAGTTTTGGTGGCAGTGCTTCCTGTTTGTCAGACTTGTTATATCTATGATCCACACACATGGATTAACATCGATTTAATACATTAATGTAGCCTTTGTTTCTGCTAAAAGAGGTGTCGACCAGCTAGGGCAACAAGAAAATTGGCGAAATCGAGTGTGACGATTCAAAAATAAATTAAAAACATCTAATTTTGACAATAAAAACCGACCAATAGGCGCGGTAGAGCATTTGCTTGGCACTTCCGGGTATTTCTCCACTGGTTGGGCCATGTTAACAATACCGTGTAACTGTCACGTTTGAAGGGACGAAACCGTGACATATTCACGTCTCCCAGCATGGTAGATCGTCACATGTTCACGTCTTGCCGTGATACCGGGTTGCTCTGGCAGCCTGTCTTATCTAAAAAAAAATAATAATAATAATAAAAGTAACTTTTCAAACTGATACAACTTAGACCTCAGCGTTGTCAGCTGACTGCGGCAAAATGTCCTTGTTTCCATAGCGTTATCGTCTCAGTGGCATCTGAAGAGGTGCTGTGAAGTTCACACAGTCAGGTGACTCTGAACTTCACACAGATAAAGAACAACCTACTCACATCTTTTACTTAGGCACATTAACATACCACTCTGAGAAATACTTTTTTTTTAGCATCCAAATAGTTTT